TGGCTCAGTGGTTGCAGAGTCAGCCTGCAGACCGTAGAGTCTCAGGTTTGATTCCTGGTCAAGGGCACGTACCTCAGTTGTAGGTTTGCTCCCTTACCCATCTTGGGGTCATGTGGGAGGCAACCAATTAATGCGTCTCTCACACCTGTGTGTGTGTGTGTGTGTGTGTGTGTGTGTGTGTGTGTGTGTGTATGTGTCTCTTTCTCTCTGTTTCTTTCTCTCTCTCTCCCTCCCTACCTACCTCTCTCCCTCCCACTCTATCTAAAAATCAATGGAAAAAAATATCCTTGGGTGAGGATTAAAAAAAATAAAACCTGATCATTTATATGCATGTTGTTTTTAATATAATCTCTTATAAATATGTGGGAAAGGCTGTAATAACTTTTAGTGGATTTGATACAGTGCTTTTAGGGAAAAAAATTCTGTTTAAAATGAAATCACATGAAAACATGTACTGAAGAGTTATAAAGCATAACACCAATATCTGATTCATTTTAAAAATTGATTTCACACCTAAAGCACCCTTCAGGAAACTGTAATTGTTTTTTAACATTTGCAAAATTATTTCTGGAATTCCTGCTCCCCCACTTGGTGGTTTTGAGGCATGGGGCAAGGCAAGGCAGATGGCACCAAGATTTTTGAAGGATGACTCACTGGTTCCACACAAACATTCTGCCGGTCCGGTTCATGCACTCTGGGCTGCAGTGGGAGAGCTCTTTGTCTGGCTCCTGCCATATGGAAGAGTGTGCCAAAGGTCTGAGAAGAGCTGCAGGACCTGGTGACATCTGCAAATAAAGAGGCAGAGCTGACAGTGTAGCACATTCATGACCCAGCAGGTACAGTGACTGATGATTAGGCAGAACCTAGCCCCACTGAGAACAGAGCAGGTCTGTGCGGAGGGTTACTGGAGGTGTGGAGGTGCACCGCAGTCGCCTTGGAAGGGCAGTGAACAGAGAAGTCAGAGGGAAGCAGAGAAGAGTAATTATAAGAGGACTGTATCTTTCTTTTTTGATTCTGGTACTCTAGGTATACTCTAATTAATGTATTTTTGTTTGAGGCAATAATACTCTGAGAATCAGCTTTCAGTATACCAGTATATATTTGCAAGTGAAAAAACCAAAAACAATCCCTCTATCATATCAAAAGTAAGATGCTTTTTAAATAACATATTTATCATTATTTTGAAAAGTCAAGCCTGTGTATTAGCTTCCAATAGAATCAAATAAGATTACTTATTAAGTCAATATTGTGTAATCGTTATTGTTTTCCAAAGAATCACGAGAGTTAATCACAAGACTTTTCAGTAAAGTGCTGAGCACAAAGTAGGGCTTATATACTTTTGAAGTGGCAAACAGTAAGAACCAGTATCATGTAACTTTACCTATTTAACTTTCTATTTTAAAAAATCAGATAATAACCCCAGTGTATCAACAACTTTAAAACTACTTTGTCCATTATTTTTAAGCATAAGTCTGATAGAGTAATAATAATCCCGTGCATGCAGAGGGATTGTATATTTCTCCCTAAATGTACTGGTAGATGAGTTTTAGTAACTAAACTAATTTTTTAGTAACTAAATTAATTTTTAAAGTTGTAAGCCATCATATTATTACATCAAGTGTGACTGAATTGTTATACCTGATAATTCTTACTAAAATGCTGAAAAGTCAACTCTAAGTAGAATTTTTATTGAAAAAAATGATTAGTATATAAATTAAAATGTAAGTAGGGACCACATTCCATTTTTGTGTGGATAGGTATTTTGTTAGTCTGTTTACCTGCAGGCACTTAATGCAGTCTTGTTGTTTTGTTTCAAAGAAGGGTTAGAGTGAGAGCCAACTATTAATGAATAGTTACTTAAAATCATGTACCACAGATAAGAATCTGATTCAGTTACCTTCTAAATGCATGACCTGGGTCAAGTTTCCAACCCTCTTTGAGCCTGGGGATTTTTTATTGTCCGTATGTGCTGTGGTAAAATGAGAATAGCAATAGTATCTATTTTATAAAGATGTGAGGATTAGATAGTTTACGTAAAATACTTATAGTGGTGTCTGGCACGTATCAACCAGTAATTGTGTGTTAATTGTTCTTATTATGGTGACATTGTTATTATTTTTGTGATTGACCTAAAACAAGGCTCCATGAGTCAGTGATTTCCTGACCTCAAGCACAAAATTCCTAGTAACTTTTCACAAACCTACATGATTAAACCACGTCAGCAAGCTTACTTTTGCTTATCTTTGTGTTGGTTTTGGCAAGGTTAGGGACCTAACGTTAGAAGACCATCTGTGTGGAAGGAACATAGCGTTTGCTAATAACTGCTGGCAACCCCTTGGACTTTGCAGAATATTACCAGGATACCCACAATTTGCCATGTTCAGCTAAAATGTGATTCGCAGTCAGCAAAAGATTGTTGCTTATAAGTGTCCTACGATCCCATAGGATGTGGAAGACCTCAGGGATGGCTTCATTGCTTGGCAATAAGAAACAGTATGACTTGTTGGTTAATTAATTCTGACTCATAAATGATACATTAATTCATTCCAGCACAAATTCTACAGGATCATTTTCTTTAAAGACATCTGTCACAACTAGAATCAGAGCATATAAAAGAGTGCCAGTCAAAAAGAGACATCACTACTATATAAAACCAGGAGCTTGAAAAAAACAGACTACTGCTATTAATAACAACATGGATGTATCTCAAATGCATTTTTTTTAACCCTCACTCAAGGATATTTTTCTGTTTATCTTCAGATAGAGTAGGAGGAAGAGAGAGACAAACATTAATGTGAGAGAGACACATCGACTGGTTGCCTCCCACACAACCCCAACCAGGGCTGTGGACAAAGTGCAACCAAGGTATGTGCCCTTGATTGGAATCGAACCCCGTGACTCATGGGTCCATGGGCCCATGCTCCAACACTGAGCCAAACTGGCCAGGGCTCAGATGCATTTTGATAAATGAAAGAAGCAAGATGCAAAAGGCACGTACTGTGCAATTCCATTTACGCACACTCTGGAACAGGACAGATCAGCAGCTGCTGGGCCCTGGTCCTGTGCGAGGAGTGGAACTGAGTTCAGAGAGACCTAAAATGAGTTCAGTGGAAATGTTCTGCATCTTGATAGTGGTAGTGGTGACAAAACCTAAAACTTTACACCAAAAGGGTGCATTTTACTACCATTTGTACATTATATCAGTAAATGTGTCTTTAAAAAACAAAACAAACACAGCAACGTGTAGTGCTGATGCAGATGAGCATTTCCTCTAAGTGTGGGGAATTACATATATATTACTTTATCTTCCCCTGAAATGTTGATAGGTTTCTTATGTATTTACTATGTATTTGTGTTCACTGATTAACAGTTTCAAAGTCACATTTTTAGTCCATTAAGTATTTTATGTTCTCAATAAGGAGTAATTGATTAAAAATCGTTTGTAAGTTTTTTTAATGTCAGGGACTATACTGTATCTGTTTTGTAGTATTTGTTTTCTATAATAATCAGGATGCTACAAATAACATCAATAACAATCGGCCTGGCTTAAGCAATAATGACTTTCATGGGCTTCACCTCTGTGGTTAGGGAACGGCCGGCTGCTCATAGCATTTAGGTCTACACAGGTACCCTCACTTACATGGAGCTCTCTTTTCTGCTCCATGTAAGTGAGGGCCAAACCCAAGGACTTCGGATGGTTAAAGAAGACGCCACAGACAAGGGGTAGAAATTCATCAGGCCATTACAAGGAAAGTACGTATTGAAGACCTAGGGAGATACAGCAAGAGCATGTGCCAAGCAGAGAGGATAAAGGAAAAGTTTGTAGATGGCTGGGGGTAGGGGGGCATGTTTGGAGAAAGGTGGATAGATGAGTGCGTTTGGAGGAAAGTGTGCCTGTGAAGATACAGTGAGAAAGAGGTTTGAGAAAGTGATGAGATTTGAACAACCCTGAGTGGTACCTATAGTCTGGATTTTATCCTGTTGTTGAGGGAGGACTATTAAAGACTTCTCTTTCCATGGAAAGTAGGATTATCTGGGCAAAGCAGAGTTTTGGAAAGAGATTCCTCATGCAGCAATATACAAGGTAGGTTAGAGCAAAAAATAGTGAAATTCAGAGCATTTGACCTGAGCTTGAGATACAATATGAGCAAAACAGGGTAGTAGTGATGAGAACTTAAGGATGGATGCTGAAGACATAATATCATGAGAGCAGTTGGTAGCTGACTGGATTTTGTGGCTGGGAATCAAGTTTAAAGTAATTCAAGATACCAAAGACAGACAACTGAAAAGGGATGGTACCATTCCCAGGATGGTAACGTTTGGGATGGTGGTAGGATGGATGTTTTGCAGAAAAGATGAGTTTAGTTTTATGTTAACAACATGTCAAAGTGGTGATAAATGTCCAACAATAGTTAGGTATATGAAACTTAAAATATTTTATTGCATTTCAACATTTTATTGAAATATTGTAGTAGACACAGGAGATAGAACATTTAACAAGGAAAAACTGTTCCTATCCTCATGGAACTGGCAGGGGTCTACAAATATATTTAAGTAAATATATACTGAAGAAAGAATGGCCTGGCCAGTGTGGCTCAGTTGGTTGGCATCATCCTATTCTCCGAAAGGTTGCCATTCAATTCCCAGACAGGGCATATACCCGGATTGCAAGCTCAACCCCTGGTGGGGAGCATGCAGAAGGCAGCCAATTGATGTTTCACTCTCGAATCAATGTTTCTCTTTCCCTCTCTCTCTAAAAGTCAATAAACTATTCTTTTAAAAAAAGTTGTTACAGGTTATATCTAGCAAATCATTTCTAATTTTTTTCCTTTCTGGTTGGATGTTCTTTGATGGCTGAAGAGAGTTGGGTACCTGAGAAGCTTGAGAAAACTGTTTTAATCAAACATAATTATTTCATGATGTGTTTATTATTTTAGAAATATTGTCCAAATAATGTCCAAACGTTGTTCCTAATGTATGAATATCTATTCTCTTTGTAGGAGACAAATGAGCAAAAGCTTCACAACATAGCCAATGAACTTTTGCTTACAGAAAGAGCTTATGTCAACCGACTTGACCTCTTAGATCAGGTAATATTTTCCTTTCCAGAATAATTTTAATTTTTGGTACTATATATTATTTTAAATTAATAATGAAAGTGTTTAGAGACTACAAAGAAGGGCCTGACCATTTTTGGCCAGTGAAAGGAAATTTGTAACATTTCCAACTTTGTTGGTGAATTCATTGGGTATAAAGTTTATATTTCACAAAGAACAGACTGAAGGACTCTCTCAGTACAAGTCACAAGTGCCTTTATCTGTGTTTCAACCCTAAATACTAATCTGTTTATTGACATGGCATATGTGCATGATCTGAGCTGCTGCAGCTGTAGGGCCAGAACGGATTTTGAGAGTTCACTGTTCAGTCTTGTGTGAAATGCTTAATACGGTGCCAGGTGTAAAGTTTCACAGTTAGTATTTGTTGAATATGTGAGTCTTCTGTATCACATTTTGTACTTTCATCATGGTAGAGCCTTGGGTATCATTTCAAATGCACATTTGCAAGGCAAGTTGTTGTTTTTTTCCTCTAGTAGTTCTTTTATTTTTTCATTTAAATTATTAGGGTGACTTTGGTTAATAAAATAATATAAGTTTCAGCTGTACAATTCAGTAATTCATAATATGCATATTGTATTGTGTGTTCACCACTCTAAGTCAAGTCTCCTTCCAACACCATTTACACCCCTTTCACCCTCTTCTACCTCTCCCCAGCCCCCCTATCCCTCTGGTAATCACCATACTGTTGTCTATGAGTTTGTTTTTTAGTTTAGTTTTGTTTTTTGCTTGATCACTTCACTTTTTCACCCAGACCCCAGGCCCTTCCCCTCTGACAGCTGTCAGTCTGTTCTCTGTATCTATGAGTCTGTTTCTATTTTGTTTGTTTATTTTGTTCATTAGATTCCACATACAGTATAAGTGAAATCATATGGTACTTGTCTTTCTCTGACTGGCTCATTTCACTTAGCCTAATACTCTCCAGGACCACCCATGCTGTCACAAAAGATAAGATTTTCTTCTTTTTTACAGCCAAATAATATTCCATTGTGTAAATGTATCACAGCATTTTTATCCACTCATCTACTGAGGGGCACTTGGACTGCTTCCAAATCTTAGCTATTGTAAATAACACTGCAGTGAACATAGGGATGCATATATTCTCTTGAAGCAGTGCTTTGGGTTTCTTTGGGAAAATTCCCAGAAGTGGAATTGCTGGGTCATAAGGCAGTTCCACTTTTAATTTTTGGAGGAAACGCCATACTGCTTTCCACAATGGCTGCACCAGTCTTCATGCCCACCAACACTTGTTTGTTGATTTATTGATGATAGCCATTCTGAGAGGTGTGAAGTGATATTCTCATTGTAGTTTTAATTCACATTTCTCTGGTGATTAGTGAAATTGAGCATCTTTTCGTGTGTCTTTTAGCCATCTGTATGTCCTCTTTGGAAAAGTGTCTATTCAGGTCCTTTGCCCATTTTTAAAATTGGATTGTTGGTTTTTCTCACATTGAGTTTTATACCTTCTTTATAAATTTTGGATATTAACCCCTTATGAAATATATCAGCAAATATGTTCTCCTGTTCAGTAGGTTGTCTTTTCATTTGTTGATGGTTGGCTTTGCTGTGCAAAAACTTTATGATTTAACATACTCCCATTTGTTTATTTTTCCTTTTGTTTCCCTTGCCTGAGGAGATATATCAGAAAAAATATCGTTACAAGAAATGTCTGAGATTTTACTGCCCATGTTTTCTTCTAAGATGTTTATGATTTCAAGTCTAACATTTAAGTATTTAATCAGTTTTGAGTTTATTCTTGTATATGGTGTAAGAAGGTGGTCTAGTTTCTTTTTTTTTTTTTGCACGTATCTGTCCAATTTTCCCCAAACCATTTATGGAATAGACTCTCTTTACCCTATTGTATGTTCTTCCATTATTGTCAAATATTTATTGACCATCAAAACATGGGTTTACTTCTGGGCACTACTGTGTTCTGTTGATCTATTATGTCTGTTTTTATGCCAATACCATGCTGTTTTGATTATTATGACCATGTAGTATAGTTTGATAATAGGTAGCATGATTCCTCCATCTTTGTTCATCTTTCTCAAGATTGCTGTGGCTGTTCAGGGTCTTTTGAAGTTACATATGAATTTCTGGAATGTTGGTTCTAGTTCTATAAAAAAGTCTTATAATATATCTTAAGATCAACTATTGAAAACTAAGGTCTCTTAGTCCTGCTTCAGTGATAAAAAAACATTACAATTGAAAGATTGTCTGCCAGTACAGACCCCTCTTATTAGAATAGAAAGTTACCATGTTTGAGTGTTAGTTATAACAAGAATTGTCCCACTTCTGCCATAGGAACTCTGGAACTTCATGGGAGCTGGTCATCCTATGCATACTCCCTATTATTTTCTTTTTATTGATTTTAGAGGGAGAGGGGGAGAGAGATGGAAACATCAATGAGAGAGAACATCAACATTGATTGGCTGCCTCCTGCATGCCCCCCAGTGGGGATTTGGCCCACAACCTGGGCATGTGTCCTGACTGGGAATTGAACCAGTGACCTCTTGGTGCATAGGTCAATGCTCAACCACTGAGCCACACCAGCGGGGCAACACTCCCTATTATTAATTCCTAGAGTAAACTCTGTCCCTCTTGTGGTGAGTCCTAAGGGGCTAAATTAAAGCAGTGTTCTTTAAAATAATGAGTTCATAACTCAAATACTCACTTTCCAAAGAATTTCTCCACAAGTCAATCAATTTATATTGGACCTTTGAAACAACTTTTCTCCTCATGGAGATCACAGACCAGAAGCTTTTAGGTATTCCCATAGTGGAGAGGTATCTTTTTTAAAAATTGAATTGTGTCCCCTCCCCCTAGCCCAACTTTTTTTTCCCCCCAACCAAATTAGCTTGTTCAATTATTGTTGCTGACCTTAGAGAATTTTAGTCTTAATTACTACAGTATTCTATCTGTTGTAGTCTCTAAGGACATAATTTTGTGTTCTTTTTGCCTCCCAAGAAAATGCAGTGGAGGTGAATTTAGAAAATTAACAACCATCTGGACATTATGAAGGAACAGACCTCCTTCTGCCTACATTTAACAGAATGGCAAGAGGTATAGTAGCCCTAGTGGAGTATAGCTAAAACTGCAAATTATTTTTTATTGTCTTTAAGATACCTGTTATTATGTGCAGAAGATACTTTTATCCTCATATCAATGTGTTCAGTTATGCATTATTGTCTACAAAAAAGCAGTAAAACATTGGAGAAGTGAAATATTCTTTTGTTCATCCAATGACCAGCTATTTATTAAGTACCCTTTCTACTGTGAAAACTAAATCATTATTTTCTCCCTCCCTGAGGAGTGTACCATTTTAATAGAAAAATAAGATTTTTGCCAACGAGTGGCAGTAAAGGCAATATGTAATAAATGACATACAAATCATTCAAAACATAAACAGGAATAAAAAATATCACAATTGTGTTGTGTATGTAAAAGGTTTGTGTGTGTGTGTGTATTTTAATCTCTTAACTCTACTTATGGGTAGGAAGGGTAAATCCTGTTAACCTCATTTGGAAATTCTCTGGCACAGAAAATGTTGATATCCCACACAAAGAGGCCTAGCCTAGGTTAAAGTCAAAGTTTACTAATTGTAATTTCTGGTTCTTCTCAATCAAAGCACATAGTTCAAAAATGAGTGATTTCTTGAACCATGAACTTTTCCATTTATTCAACAGACAGTTATTAAAGAGCCTGCTATGTGGCCCGCATAGTGCCAGGTGGTAAGCCAATACATTTGAAGTAATATTTGTTTTATTCTCTTACTCAGGTATTTTATTGCAAACTATTGGAAGAGGCAAATCGAGGCTCATTTCCAGCAGAGATGGTGAACAAAATCTTTTCTAATATTTCATCAATAAATGCCTTCCATAGTAAATTCCTATTGCCAGAACTGGAGAAACGAATGCAAGAATGGTAAGAGAAGTAAATACCAAATTATGGGTCTAAGGTGATCAGCGTTTAAATTGAAATACTAATGTTACACAGAGCAGTAACCAAACATCTGTGCTAAATTTTTATGTTATAGACCAATAATAGAAGTTATATGTTTACAACTTTAGTTGCTCTCCAAACTTTTTTGACTAGTGAAAATAAGATATTAGGGGTAATCTGGAGCTTCGAGATTGTCTTAGCATCTCTCTCTACTATGTCACTCCTAAACTTCCTTTAATTCCCTGCCTTCTTTCATTTGCTACCAATCTCATAGCTAAGTAGATCTGATAAAGCACAGAGTGTGGGTAGAAAAGTGATTACTTCATTTGAAGTCCTGTTAATTCACTCATTCTATGAGATATCTCCATGACTTGTTTCTGTATTTTATACAGGGAAACTACCCCTAGAATTGGTGACATCCTTCAAAAATTGGCGCCATTTCTTAAGATGTATGGAGAATATGTGAAAGGATTTGATAATGCGATGGAATTGGTTAAAAACATGACTGAGCGCATTCCCCAGTTCAAATCAGTAGTTGAAGAAATTCAGGTATAATGACTCTTTTTTTCAAGGTTATGCATCCATTTTTCTGTAAAAATCATCAAGTCTTCTAGATCTAAAATTTAGATTACGATATCTGTCCAAGACACCTAGCCACGTTCCATTTGACTCTGAATTATGCAAAAACCATCTCTGCAAAGCTAAGGTTTGGAGCATATGTCATTGTGTTGAGCAGCAAATTCTCCATTTGCTTTGAGACCAGGAGAGTGGTTCAATCAGGGTTCACATAAATTACAAAGTGAATTCCCATATAGTTCTGTGCTTCTCTAGCTTTCTTTCAGAGGATGCGATATTGAAATGAATATAAAGAATGATTGCTATAAATCCTGACATTTAAGAAACATAATTAGCCCGGCCGGTGTGGCTCAGTGGTTTAGTGTCAACCCATGCACCGAGAAGTCACAGGTTCGATTCCCAGTCAGGGCACATGCCCAAGTTGTGGGCCTGACCCCAGTAGGGGGCATGCAGGAGGCGGCCAGTTGATGTTCTCTGTCATCGATGTTTCTATCTTTCTCTCCCTCTCCCTTCCTTTCTCTCTAAAATGAATAAAGGAAAAGAAAAAAAAAGAAAGAAACATAATTATTCTGGCTTTTTTGTCATTTTGTTTATATGTCCTGATTTAAAAAAACATTTTTAGTACACCTGGATAATACATTTTAATAATACCATAGTAATTTCTATTTGATTCTCTAGTCAAAATTGTTAAAAACTAGTCTTTGCTAAAGTTTAAATATTTAAAAGGAATTCCTTAGCTCACATAGATTCTGGGGTTGGAGATTCTGTTGCTCCTTGACTGCTCCCTTTTGTGTCTCCTCCTTCTCTGCGTTTGCCTGTGAGATATTCAAGGTGCTTAACATAGAGCTTGTTGCTTAATAATTGCTCACTACACAGTGCTGGTGATGGTGGTCATTATTTTATCATATTTGAAATCTGTCTCGACTATGTCATCTCCATATTATGACAAATGATGGGGTTGGGATGGGGCAATGGATTGAAAATCAGCTAACCTAGTTTATAATCCTGGACTGCCACTTATAACCATTTGATCTTAGAAAGCTCTCCTAACTCTTCTGAGCCACCGTTCTTTATGTACAAATTTTGGGATCAGTAATATTTTCTTAGAGAAAATAGGTTTTAATAGGTTTGATAGAGAAAATCAAATGAGATAGCTACACTTACAACATTAACTTTATTAAGCAAAGTCATTAGCCCTCAGCTTCCATGCTAATTTCAGGCCCTCTTTACTTTTCCTGATCTACAATAATAACTTCCAAAGTAGCTTCCCCACATCTTCCTAAAGCCATATGGCACTAGGTTGATCTTAATAGACCTCTAATGATACCTAATAATATCACTCCCCTGCGTGAAACCTGCATTAGATGAAACAATACGAAACTCAGTTTGACATTATTACCCCAAATTACTGTTTGTTCTTCATCCTGTTTCCTTACAAATCTATTATTTGCCAACAAAACTCAATTGTTTCCTTTGACTGAACACGTTTCATACCCCAGCGTCTTGGGCCTGTTCTCCAGGGCCCTCTGCCTTCCCGTGCCTCCTGGTCTTCCTCACTCGCCTTCCCAACCAAAGCCTGTCCTCACGCTAGTGCACGTTAGCTGTTCCTTTCTTGCAGGGGTCTTTGGTTTCGTTTGCTTTAAATGCAAACATCACATCTGAATACAAGTTTTATACCCTGCATTGCCTAAATCATGATATGAGCTGAGTAAATATGTTAAGAAGATTCATACTTTGTTTAATATGAACAAGAACACATCTTACTTTTCAAGTAATCTTTTCCCTTTCTTATGTTAACATTTTATTGAAAACAAATGCTATAGATTCAATTTCACCCTGTGGGTGGGGTGGAGGGTGGGACGGATTCTATTTTGGGACTTTGGCTTCTGATGGAAAAGAATGCCATGACCTAATGAAAAATTAAAATTTTCTGACATATAACAAAAGGATTAGATCTTGTCATTCTTCTGTGCAGAGTCTTTTTTAAGTTCCAAGGAAATGGTATTTGTGGTAGCTTTATTATGAAATAGTTTCTGCTGAGTCCAAAGTCATTTAATAGAGTTGTTCTTAGTGAAGCTCATTAAATAGTAGAGGCTTCTTTTGAAACTCTCTGGAGTATGATTTAATAATGTAGCCCACACACACTTGAAATGACTGAAGTGGTTGTCAGAATCTGGAATTTTCTTGCTTACAATTCTGCTTGATTTTTCTTTCTGTTCTTACCCTGGATTGGTCATCTTCAAACTGTAATGGAGGACTCTGGGGTGTTTTTAAGTGTACATGCCAGGCCCTAACCTCAAAGATTGTAGTTTCATAGATTGGGATGTGGGTCAAAATTCCCATTTTTCTTTTTTTTTTATTTTATTTTTTTTTATCCTCACCCGAGGACATTTTTTCCATTTTTTGTTCAGATAGAGTGGGAGGGAGAGATAGGAAGAGAGAGAGAGAGAGAGAAACATCGATGTGAAGGGACACATCAAGTGGCTGCCACCCACACGACCAACCAGGGCCGGGGACAAACTGCAACCGAGGTACATGCCCTTAGCGGGAACCGAACCCGGGTCTCTCTGTACCGCAGGCCGACGCTCTAACCACTGAGCCAAACCGGCCAGGGCAAAATTCCCATTTTTAATAGCACCCAGATGCATCTAATGCAGGTGATAGACACTCAGAGCAGCCATACTTTGTAGGAATTACTGCCTTCGATGAAAGCTCTGAATACGTGAGCTTTTCGACTACCTAACCTGATTTTGAAATCTTTCTCTTCTAATTATAGAAACAGAAGATCTGTGGGAACTTGACCTTGCAGCACCACATGCTTGAACCCGTTCAGCGGATTCCCCGCTATGAGATGCTCCTTAAGGACTACCTGCGGAAATTGCCCCCTGACTCTCCAGATTGTAATGATGCTCAAAGTAAATGCTTTTCCCCCTTTTTTCCATTATGGGATAATTTAGTTACCAAGCAGCTTTGTGATTCCAAAGCAAGACAGTTTACATAGACAATTTAGTAAACTATTGGTGCCAGAAAATGACCTCACTGGAAGTTGTCATCAGGAACTCCATCGGGCAAGCACTTCAGAGCAATGCAAACCACTGCTCTCATGCTGGTCCCACGATCATCATTAACTCCGAAACACAAAGCTGTAGTCTCAGGCACATCTGGGGTCGCAATACACAGTCACCTTCTCACAAGAAGAATACAGCCATCGGAACTACTAGCGCTCCTGGTTAACTCGATGGGCTGATGCATACCGAGAAAGTGAAGATGGCATTTACTACGTAAAAATACCCAAAGCAGAGTTGGCTCTACCATCTCAGAAGAGAAAATGGTGCCATTTAGTGTTGGTTAACATTTTTCCCTGAGAAAACTTTATTGCTATTCTGGCAGTTGTCTTTTATTTAAAGACTTGTCACTTGTGTTTTTTTTTTAATCCTCATCCGAGGACATTTTTCCATTTTTTTGTACAGATAGAGTGGGAGGGAGAGAGAGGAAGAGAGAGAGAGGGAAACATTGATGTGAAAGGGACACATCGAGTGGCTGCCACCCGCACGACCAACCAGGGCCGGGGACAAACCGCAACCGAGATACATGCCCTTAGCGGCAACCGAACCCGGGTCTCTCCGGACCGCAGGCGGACGCTCTAACCGCTGAGCCAAAGTGGCCAGGGCTGTCACTTGTGTTTTTTAGATCACAAATGAAAGGCTTGTTTTAAGGCTCGAGAGTTTCAGTAATTTACTTTCTCGTGTACTTAAAAAAATCTATTAGCTGGGAAGGTAAGAATGAAAGTTGAGAAATAGAAGTGGGTTAGTATTCAACAAGTAGTAACAATACTGGTGTATGATCTTAAAACACTGCTACTCCCCCTAATAATCTCTTGTCTTCTGATATAAGTGAATCTTGATAAGAGATGAAGAATACAAAGCACAATCGTTGGTCTAGGAGCCTGCTGTTGGTCTAGGAACAGAGGCTGTCTCTGATTCCATTCTCCCACCATCCAAGTGAGTCAGTGACACAGGAACTCCTCTTCTCCCGCTTCTCCCTCTTCAGTTTAGAAGTTTCCTGAGTTGCTTTCTTCCACTTTTTATTTCATCTCCACTTCCCACTCATCTGGCCCGAGTGTTTGGTGTTAGTGGCAGCACTGGTGGTTGGGTTGGAGGTGGGAGTCACATGGCTGCTGCGCAGACTGGTCTGCTGGGCATCGCCCCAGCCTGTCTTATTTTGTGTCCCTGTCCCCTGCATTCCGTGTGGAATGCACAGAATTGCCCAAATCAACGTAGTTCTCCACAATGTAAATAAAATTCCATTTCTTCTGTACCCAAAGACTCTGACTTCCTCTTAGGTGCCAGTGTCAAAAGGGACACAGTTGGCAACCTGGTAGCATATTTTATTACCTTTTTGATTTCCCAGTTCTACTTACACTAAAATTCTAAGCAAATTATGGAGGGAGACTGAACAGCAGGCAGAGCAACAGACGTGCATTTTGTTCAGCAGTGAACAAAGAAGACAGAAAATTTGGTCCAGAGCTGATAAGGTTGTAACAGAATAAACCCAATCAGCATGAACGAGACAGAAAAGAAAGGAAGAGAGCAGGACATGATTTAGGACTGAGGACACTACCTGGGGTTGAGCTGGCAGGAGGCCTCAGCTCCCACATCTTCACCTGTGGTCCCAGACCTCCTACCGCGCTCATCCCAGGAGTTCCCACCCCATCTCTCCCTACCACTGGCCCAGCAACAACACCTCCACTAGCACTGCATCAGACGGTTCTCTCTGACTGCCGAGGCTAGAACTACGGCCATCTTTTCCCAAAGAAAGTTGGCTATACTTAGTGGTTAAATTGCTCATAAAAATGAATAAAACAATACCACTGACATGTAGACATTTGAGTCAGAAGTCTTAGGTTCAAATGTGGCCCTTTAATATCATAGTTGTGTGACCTTAGCCAAGGTACATCACGCTCCAGTTCTTTCATCTGTCAAATGGAACTAATATCCTTTCAGGGTTGTATAAGAAGTAATTGACCTAATACCTACAAAAGCACCTGGCAGAGTGCCTTGTCCCAAGCTAGTGTATGTGGTGTTTGCTGATTTTGAAAGTTCCATAATGAATTAAATATACCTGTAAGCCTAAGCTTTGTATATGACTTTCTATGAGGAAATACCTTTCAAGTCTCAAGTATTGATCTACTTATAAATGAACTTTTGAAAGTATCCAATTTGTAAATGGAAATTGCTCAGATTTATGCTTGTTTTGTTTTTGTTTTTTCCTTCTAGATTTCTTATTGTAGTGTTAAGTGTATGTTATTCAGCTATCTAGTAACATGACAAGGACAACATATATTTATTTTATTTTATTTTTCTCCATTTAGAATCACTTGAAATTATATCTACAGCAGCAAGCCATTCCAATAGTGCAATAAGAAAAATGGTAAGTGGTCTTCAGAGGAGACAGGAATCTTCTAGTTAGATAATTGTCAATAATATAGCCTAATCTTATCTAAGGTTTGGATCAAAATGAATTGATACAGATAAACAAGAAAGATTATTTATAAACTGTTTAATGTTATCTGTAATAATCTCCCAGGTTTTAATTTCCTCATCACTGACATATTTTATATCAAAATGTATGCTTAGTTCCAATAGCTTCTGAGTTATTCATATTTTAGCTTAAGGTTGTTGTATTATTAAAGCCACTAAGGTGCAGCCTGCTTATATTTGATGTTGCTGTATTTTGTTTTAATTTCCTAGGAGAACCTAAAGAAACTCTTAGAGATTTATGAAATGTTGGGAGAAGAAGAAGACATTGTAAATCCATCCAATGAACTAATAAAAGAAGGACAGATCCTTAAACTAGCTGCCCGGAACACATCAGCACAGGAACGCTACCTTTTCTTAGTGAGTGTCGTAGTGTGAGCAGATCACATGAGAATGATTTATAAATGTTGTCATTGCATCTCAGAAAAGCAGGGTGCTTGCCTGCTTTCCAGAGCAATGACCTCGAACGAGTGCAGTCACCCCTGTCCAGATTCCACATTCCACATAGAGAATGTCCCCAGTAACTGGATCTTTTTTCGAAGTATTTTTCTATAATTTTTCTGTTTTTGCTATTTGTAATGGACTTTGGTAATACACACTGAAAACAGTGGAACCTTTCCATGAAGATCAGAGCGCTGTGTGTGTGTGTGTGTGTGTGTGTGTGTAATGACATGCTTTCCGAATCCTCCTTTTCTTGTTTCAGATTTTCTCTTTTCTTTCATTCTTATAGGCTAAAAGGTACCATTTCCTGGATATTGTGTCAACATATTATTTCTTGACAACAGTTTTCTTCCAAGTCATCTCTAACCACTACTTGTAGTATTCGTAGTTTGAAGAAGTATAGAAGCAATGTTGGCAAGCCTGTGCCTAAGATACCTGTGTGAAAAGTACATGCGTTTGCTGCGTAGCTCCTTTCCCTGGTAGTCCTTCCCTCCCTTCACTTCCCAGAAATGACAGTTAGCCTGAGGCTCACCTCCAATGTAAGAGCTCTTCCTGGGGTATCCAGCTATTTATTTTTAATCACTGCTAATTCCAGCTCCTTTTCATGTCTAATGATATGATGATAATCATAGTAATGGCTAACAGTGAGTAACAATGCGCTAACATTGAGTAATAGCTCAGTACATGTTAACTATTATTGCGATTGTTATGATAGGCAGAGAGACACTGGCAAAGAGGCTGCCCAGTGACTGGCAGGTGATGCGGTCTCAGGATGTTACTCACATCTGACTTTCCTGCTGCAAGGCAGTCATCTCACCACTATAATATGAGTTGTCTTTGGGGGCTTAGAAGTTTCTGTTGTCTGGTTACAGCTCCCTTAAAAGGAAATTTCTAGGAACTAATTGTCATGCAGAGGAGTGATCTCATTTTTAATAAAGAACGGATGGTCACCATATGACCCAGCAGTTCTACTCCAAATTTGTAACTCAAGAAAGTTAAAAACATATGTCTGTACAAAAGTTGTGCGTGAATGTTCTTAGCAAAATTATTCATACTAGCCCCAAAGTGGAAGCATTCTAAACGTTCATCAAGTGATGAATGGGTAAACAAAATGTGGTAAATCCACACAGTGGAATATGCTATGGCAATAAAAGGAAATAAACTCCTGACACATGCTACATGGATGAATTTTGAAAACATTGTGTCAAGTGAAAGAAGCCATTCACAAAAGGCCACACTGTATGATTCCATTTATGCGAAATGTCTAGAATAGGCAAATGCATACAGGTAGGATGTAAGCAGTGGTTGCCTAGGGTTGTTGAGGAGGAGGAAATTGACACAGGGTTTCCATTTGGAGTCATGAAATATTCTGGAATTAGAGAATAGTGATCCTTGCACAATTTATGGCTATCCTAAAAACCATGAATTATTATACATTTTAAAGGCTATGTTTTATGGTATATAAATTATATATCATTAACTTTTAAAAATACATAGACATTGTCCAAATTAACTATAAAAATCATTTGGGCTCAACAGAAGTACTTCACCTTTCAGAAGTTATCAAGCAAGCTAAATGTAACTCAGGAATATGTGATGTCCTGTCAGAGTTCAGAGTTCTATTTATTTTGAAATGTAGATTTTGTTATTCAGGTATGATGAGGCCATGGGATTGGAAACAATTGCCATTGAAATGATAGTTATATTTACAGATCCCAAAAGGGCGGGCGTTCCACATCATTGGTGAAGGGGGGTAGGGGGGAGGTACACGAGAAAGCACCAGTCGAGAGGCAGGGGGAACAAGCAGAAAATGTGGACAAGAGCTTTTATTGTGGTTTCTGCAAGAAGGAATGGACAAGGCAGAGAAAACAGGTTTAGGATTTGCCAGTGTACATAATTTTATCAGCCTCTGGGACTTAGGGGCTATTGTCTGGGAGCTGGCCCTGGGTGATTAGGGCAGGGGAACTCTGGCTCAGTGAGCGAGCCTGATAAAGGATGCGGTCAGGCCTGTGGGCTCTGGATAGGCTGGTTTCCAAATGAAAGGCATGCTTGCAGGTGAGTCATTTACTGGCCCTGGGAATGGGTAACCCTGAGAGGGCAGGCCCTCCAGTGTCAGCAAGGTCCCAAGGTGTCCAATCATCAAACTACATGTAAAAATGACATGCATCATACATTATTCTGGGCAAAATGCCTGGCAGTCGATGTCTTTCCTTGTTTGTTACTCTGCCTTTAGGTATTTAGGTCATTTTTCTTCTCTTCCACATTAGTGTTATAGTTTCTACAGTTAAACTTTTAACCAATTGCCATAGTTTAATTTTCACATTTGAGAATTGTTCTGGAAATAGTTTTAAGTGGCATACCTTGGGGTGAAGCCAAATTAAACAGCTATTTGAAAGACAGGTGGCAAAGAGGCTTGGGGGGATACAGCAGGAGTAACTTGGAGGCAAGGATCCTCTTGTCCCAGTTAGTATGAGTTATCACACATATCTCAGCAGGCACTGCCTCCAGGGAGGATAGTCATCCAACAGGAATTTTAGAAAAGCCACATTCATCTTTTGTAGACCATCTTAGAAGCATTTCCTGTACTGTTTATTCTTTTCATCTCTCCCTTTAATACTGTACTTGTCACACAACCTCTCCTCTGGCCAACATACTTTCATTCCCATAGAGCATCTTGGTTTTTCCTATGTAGAAACTCCAGAAGCACCATTTTTATTATCCTTTCTCTAGAAAGAAAATGAGGGCTAGTTTTCTGTTTCCTACTCCGGGGGTGTTACATTTGTCTGAAAAGCCAAATTATATTTAGAATCTGATTTCGACTTTCAAATCGTCATGTGTTTGCAAATTTGCATGCCTCCACACCCCTTTTCTTTCATGTCAGTGGGAGGGTATTCTGTTGATTCAGTGAATAACCACACCTGACAACTGAAAGTTTACAAAAAATCACCAAATTATCCCGAGAGATTTTATTCTTGACCCTTTGGGGTTCTATTTCTTAATCCTCTGTAGCGTGGCAGATTTAGATTTTTAAAGAATTTGTTTTCTTTATTGATTTTAGAGAGAGAGAGAGAAAGAAACATCGATGAGAGAGAACGTCGACTGGCCGCCTCCTACACGCCCCGCACTGGGGATCAGGCCCACAACCTGGGCATGTGCCCTGACCAGGAACCGAACTGGCGACCTCTTGGTTCATGGGTCAACGCTCAACCACTGAGCCACACCACCCAGGCCAGATTTATATTTTTTACTCTTGACTTACTTAAACGTTGAATACAGCCCTGGCTCTGGAAATTTCTCTAATAATGTACTTTTACTCTCTAAAACAAACTTAAATGAAACAGTCACTAGTGGGACAAATTGAATGGTTTCATTTGAATAAATATATTTTAAGAAACTTGAAATAAATAATTGAGGAACAGCAGAGATCAAGAAGGGGCACTTCCCTACACTTAGAATAGAATTGAGACTTGCTTCTAGGTTTTGGCACAGCCTGGCACTTCTAGAGCTGGCCTCACCAGCCAGGGATTGCTCTGTCAATATCCACTTCGGCCTGCATGGAACCAAAAGCAACCTTCTACACTGAAAAGGCACTTTGATCTCCTCTGAGTTACAGTTGCTCTAACTTCCTCTTTCAATACTAGTGGAAACACAGAGAGAAGGTGACGGTGGCTTTTGCTTCAGGAACAAGGTTCACAGAGGGAACAGAACTAGCTACCTACTTCCTTTACGTATATGGCATCTACTTCTTCTTTTTTTTATCCTCACCCAAGGACATTTTTGCATTTATCTTCAGATAGAGTGGGAGGGAGAGAGGGGAGAAGAGAGAGAGAGAAACATTGACGTGAGAGAGACATATTGAGTGGTTGCCACCCACACGACCCCAACTGGGGCTGGGGACAAACTGCAATCAAGGTATGTGCCCTTAGCAGGAACCGAACCCGGGACTCTCCGGTCCGTGGGCTGACGCTCTAACCGCTGAGCCAGACCGGCCAGAGCTGGCATCTACTTCTTTACAAGCAATATTTCATCTCCTTCAAGAGCTCTCACCTTCACCTCTAGGAAGAAGAAAAAGAGTATTTATTGACTAGCATTAAACTGTGACCCGAGTTATAAAAGGTTAATAAATAGTTATTGATAATTTGGAATGTGAAGTTCCACTTAGGAAGAACAAAACATAACAGGAGACGTGCAATCCCGAAAGCATGAAAGGGACAGAGAAACACAGCATTCAGTGTGAGGTAGACTGCCATCTGTCCGAGCATGACTTCAAAAGGCCGCTGCTGAGCCCGGCCGGTGTGGCTCGGGACCGAGCGCCGTCCCGTGGACTGAGAGGTCCCGGTTCGATGACCTGCCAGGGCACATGCCTGGCTTTGGGGCTTGGTTCCCAGTTGGGGGAGGCAGCTGATTTTTGTTTCTCTCTCATATCAATGTTTCTTCCTCTCTCTCTAAAAAAATCAATAAAAACATTTAAAAAAAAAAAAAAAAAAAGCAGATGCTTCCATATTCATGAACTTGTGTTTCTATAAAATAACAATACTTTGCTCAATGTTATAAAGTGAACTTGAGTACAAGTATCAGATATGTCATTAAGTTTATGCCAAAAAAATTACATTTGTCACTCAGTTTGCAAAAATAATTTGGTTCCTGTTACGATCTTGACAGTGTGAGCCCTGCCCGTTTTGGTGGCGGCTGGGCAGCTCGTCCTGCACCATTCCCTGCCTTGAGCAAATCCCCTCCTGAGAAGGCCTGGACGGAAGGAGAAAGAAATGTTAACAGGAGCAGGTAGCAGGCAAGCTGTTGCCTAATCCAGCTGGGATGGTGCTGAGAACCTTCCGGAGAGTTATTAAATCTCCAAAACCCAGACACTGCCATGAGGCTCTGAGTTCCACAGTTAGAGCAGAGCGGACACGGTCAAGGCACAGGGCATCAGTGTTCTCTTCGAGAAATGTGAATGTGAAGTGTGATGTTGAGATATAGCCGGTAAGATGTATTTCTTGTCCTTTTATTTCTGCATGAGCCAGTTGTGGAAATGAAATTTCTGACACTGGTCACAGGAAGTTGCAAAATAATGTATGAGGAACAACTGGTGAGAAATATGCTTTCAGGATGAGTACAATGGACAGTATTACGTAAACATGTGGAACTGTCTTTAAATATCCATCACCTTTTCTTGTCCATATGGAGCCAAACAGAGCACCTGGCAGAACAAGACATTTTCCTCATTTAATCCTGTCAGCAACCTGTAACTTTTACAGATAGTGATCCTGAGACATGAGAGCTTACATGGCACATAAGGGTTTAAGTCCCCAGTTCTCTTGTCTTTAAAAAACATGTGCAACCCTAGAAACAATAAGTATGAAGTAGAAATATAGGTATGGACCTTCTTTAGGAATCTGCCTACAAACTAACCATAGTGTTTGGACTCTTTCATCCTTTTGCGTGTTTTAATACATTCAACGGGAATTAAATGCCCTCCCAAAGGCATTGCTTGGGCCAGATAAGAAGGAGCTGTTTAGTGTTGACTAGAAATGAGGCACTACATGTAATTTGATTAGGTTCAAAATAAAGTTTTTATTATAAAGTAGATCCTATAAAGAAGACTTTTTGCTAAAATAGATGACTTTTCTGTTTATTCATACAGAATTAATTCTTAAGCAAAGGTGGATCAATAGAAAACAGTGACTTTGTTTTTTACAGAGTTAATATGCTAACCCCCCACATGTTTGAATAAAATTTAAACTAATAATATTGGCTATAGATTAATTTAACCTTAAACACACTGATAAAAATAGTTGCTAAACATTACACTTTTTCTTTAACAGCTATTATAGAGTTGCTCTCTAAGACAACAATTATACATTTTTTATTTTTTTATCCTCACCCGAGGACACTTTTTTGTTTTTTGTTCAGATAGAGTGGGAGGGAAGGAGGGAGGAAAGGAGGGAGGGAGAGAGAGAGAGAGAGAAAGAGAAAGATCAACGTGAAAGGGTCACATCGAGTGGTTCCCACCCGCATGACCCAACCAGGGTGGGGAACATACTGCAACCAAGGTATGTGCCCTTAGCAGGAACTGAACCCGGGTCTCTCTGGACCACAGGCTGACACTCTAACCACTGAGCCAAACTGGCCAGGGCAACAATTGTAAATTTTGTTGTCTAAGTACTTCAGCTTTATGGGTTGAGAACTTCAGTTGCTGATATGTGGAAGTCACTCAATAAATTGCTGCTGCAAGTAATTGGATTAGTTTCTTTAATAGTCCAGAATGATGATTGGTTTATTTAAATATCAATAAAATATTGAACCAACAAATGAAAGTATAGGCTATACATTTAAAAATAACATAATTTTGGTACAAGCATAAAATCTCGATATAGCATTTAAATAATTTTGCTCACATAGAAAGTATGATACTCCTTGGAAGTCCTTGGAATATTGTCTAGGGCTACCTTCAGTGTTGTTCACCTTCTTTTGTCTTTGTTGATTGGTATGTGTTCTGTCTCCTTGCAGTTCAACAACATGTTGCTGTACTGTGTGCCAAGATTCAGCCTCGTGGGCTCTAAATTCACAGTTCGAACCAGGGTGGGCATAGACGGAATGCAAATTGTAGAGACTCACAATGAGGGATATCCGCACACTTTCCAGGTGTCTGGGAAAGAGAGAACACTGGAACTGCAAGCCAGGTAAGAGAACCAGTCCTAGCACACAGCTTTCAAAAGCATCAGGATTAATGTAGGAAAGAATGATTCTGCGGGTCTTTCCCAAGTGAATGCTACAGACCTCTGTGAATCTGATTGGACCTACGTGGAGACACGGAAGCTCCTAAAGAGCAGGAATTACATCTTCCCTTTTGATTCCTCCATAGGGCCTAGGATGGTCATTTTCAGAAAGTAAGCATTCAGTAAATTACATTTACTCTTTAGATTTATAAGGTACACAGAGAATGAAGTTGTTGCATTTAAGCCAAAGTTTGAGTCTTATAGGGAAAAAGTTCTCCCCTAACCCTTTTTCCCCTCCATTCTTTGGTTCACAAATGTGTATTGATGCTTATTATTCCATGCTAAATGTTGAAGTTTAACTCTCAGTCCTTCGGAGACTCTGCATTCATGGGACACATTGGCGCTTTGATGGAGAGAATGTTCGGAGGAGGCATGGTGGAAGAGGTCAGGGTTCTTTTGCCACAGTGGAAGATGCCTGAAGGAGGCCATCTGGGGCTGTCGTGGCCTCTAGTGACCAGGACTTCTGAGGGGATGGTTCTTCTTATATGCTTTATGAAGTGGGAGGGAAAGGGCTGGACTTCCAGCATCTACCCCACTAGCATACCCATGTTCAGAAGGGAAAAAAAAATCATGAAAACCACTGCAATAGATCACAGCTACCTCCTCATGAGTGAACCACTGCAGACAGAGTTTTAAATACCTGCTTTAGAAGACTGTCGTCCATTCATCCTATGAAGGCCTGGCCTGTTGAAAATTGAGTTACTCCTGAAAGTCACAGATCAGAGGGTGAAGTACCAATCCCAGCACTGTTGGTTCTGATACCCTAGAATCCGTGGAGAGCCCCTCTGTTCCTTCCCGTTCCTTTGTACCAACAGCATGTGGTTCCGGCTGCTCAGGTGAATGCATCCAGGATATGTGTACTTAGTAATGGCATAAGAGCTTAAACTTCAGACTTTTAAAAGAGAATAAGTTGCTTTAGCAGGAATTTGTGCCCTGGAAGTCAGGGAACTGGTGAAATTACAGTTGTGGAAGAGGTGACACACTGCCGGGGGACTGATCTAAGGATTCAAAGGTGGCATTTCAAGCATGAGTTAAAATGGTGGAGGATTTGGCTTTGAATGTCATGGTTTTTCTACCTTACCATGATGGGGTTTGGGTCCCTGGAATCAAACCCAAGAGAAGTATGTATGATGTGACTCACTGAGTGATTGGACCTGGCCACAAGGAGGACTCCCTGTAGTCTGATCATTAGAGGAGTCCTCATTGCAGAAGAATGAAGAAATACCAGCATACTTCCAAATCTGCAAACCCGAGAGGGGTCTGAACAGCAGAAGGTTATCAGAGTATCTTGGGTTGCCTAAACGGAGACTCCAGGTCCCCTTAGCAGCTTAGGCTGTTTTGTCTTTACGATGGTGCTGATTCATGAGGAATCTTCTTAAGTAAAGGAAATTATCACTTGAAGATGTCCAAGATGCGGTATTGGATACTTTCCAATTAGTACTGAAACACAGTCATTTTCCTTAAATTTTTAATTCCCCCAATATCACTACTATAGTTATATTTATGATTATATGGTAAATAGAAGATCAAAATTAAGTGATTACTTGTCATCTAGTCTAAAATGACTCTCAAGAATGGAAACAAACATTAAACGTTTGTTTGTGGGCTTACATGGAACCCAAAGTTCGTATATATTTGGAGATATTTCAAGAAAATTCACTTCTGACACCACCTAAGAAAAAAAAGGATTCTGCTTTTCTTGCTAAATGAGTCAGTCTCAAGACTGACCTCTTATACTCTGTACACTCTTCCATATTCAAAAGAATATAAAGTATTCCTAGTTTCTATTTAATGGTTTTTGGTTGCTAAATGGATATAAAAATATAGTGATAAGTAAACTAAATAAAAGTGTGAAGACTTGTCAAGTTTCTTTGCATTTAAAAAGCTAAAAACAGCACTGGTTTGGTTTGGCTCAGCGGTTAGAATGTCAGCCCGCAGACCAGAGAGACCCGGGTTCGGTTCCCAATAAGGGCACGTACCTCGGTTGCAGTTTGTCCCTGGCCCCAGTTGGGGTTCTGTGGGTGGCAGCTTGTTGATGTGTCTCTCTCACATCGATGTTTTTCTCTCTTCCTCTCTCTCTCCCTCTCACTCTATCTGAAGATAAATGCAAAAGTATCCTTGGGTGAGGATAAAAAAAAAGCTAAAAGCAGCTAGCATGCAACAATGCTCTCAGGACAGCAAAGTGATTTTGTGGGAGCAGGCATAGCAACAGGAAGAACTCTTTTCTGAGGGGAGAGATTGAAGCACCATCCCCCCGCCACCAAGTATCCCCAGATGAACAATAAACTGAATCTTTCCTTGGACAGGCAGCAGCATTCTGGTACACTGTAGTGCTCAACAATACATGTATTGGAAGATGGATGGGGTCACAGGAGCAAACCTCCTGCCAGACTCATACGTATGTGATCCCCGTGGGACCAAAACATGTGACATTCAGGCTGGAACTCAAACTTAGCCCTAGCCTACCAAACACATGCAAATAGAACCCACTCTTTGACAGTCTTCAGAATCCCTCCAATTGGAATTCTTGGTCCAGAGTCTACTAAAGGGGATTTTTCTAAGGTAGTCTATGGCAACAACCAGCTCTGTAAGCAACCTGCTAAAATAAAGAAAATTTACCTCAACAGGAAAACAGGGGACTTGACTATAGTCAAGGACATTTTTTTCCCCAAGAAAAAAATTATTAAATACTGGAGTCCAGCCCAGCTGGTGTGGCTCAGTGGTTAAGTGTTGATCCATGCACCAGGAGGTCGCCGGTTCGATTCCTGGTCAGGGCACATGCCCAGGTTGTGGGCCCAATCCCCAGTGGGGGGCATGGGGGAGGCAGCCAATTAATGTTATCACTCATTGGTGATATCCATATCCTTTCCTCTCTCTCTAAAATCAATAAAGAAAATAATTTTTTTAAATAAATAAATACTAGAGTCCATTAATCTGTGAAATTTCCTTCCTAAAGGCATTTAAAATATTTGTTTTGCTTTATCTATAATCGGTTAGGTGTGGTATTGCCTTACCTTAGGTATGGAAGCCTTTTAGCAAAATAAAATTAAATTGTTTATCAAAGGAAAGGTTAAATAGCTCCCTAAAGCCTCACAAAGATATTTTAGAGTCTCAAAGCTAATTATAATCTTTCTAAGATGGTCTGTGGCTCATAACCTTTCAAAGCCTCAACTGCTTTTATATAGGTGTCTTGGAAGACTAGTTGTATATCCAGGATAATGCTAGATCTACAGACTTGCCTGATATCTATATCTGGATACCGGTTGTTAAACTTAATGTTAGAGCAGTATATTATGAAAGCTAAACTTATCTCTCCCTACCAAAAGTTATATGTACTAAAAGTAAATGGATGGTGTAAAACTCTGTTCAACAATTTATTTGTTCAATTGCCAGAGATTCTGTTTAATGTTTATTGTAACTCCTTTTTGGACATCCCTGCATTTTCCAGAAAGTTGGAACAACATTAAAACATAGTTTTATTCACCAGGTGTAACTCATTAATGGTCTCTGCATTCAGTTTAATTTTGTTTTGTTTTAGTTCTGAACAAGACAAAGAAGAATGGATCAAGGTAAACCTTATTTCTATTTTCATTTTTTGTTTTTTGGTAACCTCACACAAATGTGCAGATACTGTATTGTGCACATGCAGTCATCAGATCAGGGTCTTTTAATTTTTAAAGTGATTCCCATCCTAGATATTTTTTAATAGAGTATTTTCATTAATTTGCATGTAATACTTTAATGTGTGCTTTGAATTTTATTTATACTTAGGCTCTTCAAGAGACTATTGATGCTTTCCAGCAGAGGCATGAAACCTTCAGAAATGCAATTGCAAAGGATTGTGACATTCAATCAGAGTTTTCTGTAAGTTGAATTAAATTTTTTTTCCCTTTATTGATTTTAGAGAGAGGACGGGAGAGGGAGAGAGAGATAGAAACATCAATGAGAAAGAACATCGACTGGCCGCCTCCTGCATGCCCCCCACTGGGGATCGAGCCCACAACCTGGGCATGTGCCCTGACCGGGAGTCTAACCAGCGACCTCTTGGTGCATGGGTCAATGCTCAACCACTGAGCCACACCAGCCGGGCTGAATTAAATTCTTAACTTTAGGCTCTTTGCTTCTTACTCTTTGCAGTTACAAAAGATCTATCTGGTCATTTTGTTCTCCAGCCTTTTTTCTTCACAATGCCGAAAGCGGCTATTTAGACAGAGTCTCGTTCCTTCTTAGATGAATATATAAGTGATTGCTTTTTTTATACTACTTAAACTTTTTTGAACCTTTTACTTCTTTACCAGAACATGGTATGAGCAATGTTGTTAAAATGCTAGGAAGGAAGGAAGGAAGGAAGGGTGAGTGGGAGGGAGGGAGGAAGGAAGGAAGGGAGGCAGTGACAGTTTTTTTTTCTATTAAAATTGAATCTCTCTTTCCTTTTTAGACTGCTGAGCTAGGGAAAAGAGCCCCAAGATGGATCCGAGATAATGAAGTAACGATGTGTATGAAATGCAAAGAGCCTTTCAACGCACTGACAAGGAGAAGGCACCACTGTCGAGCATGTGGACACGTAAGTGAGATTCCGAAGTCATGAAGATTGCCAGAAACTCTATAGGTATTGAAAATTATCAACTCGGAAAAGATCTCGAAACACATTCAGTAAAGCACGTCATTGATAAACTTATTTTAGTGACCAGTATGTACAAAGCACTGTGCTGGGTCCTGGAGAAAAACATGGTAAGCAAATTGATACCCAGCTCCACAGAGCTTACATTCTAGGGAGAAATCAGACCAAAGTCAGGTACATGGACAAGTAAGCATTTCAAATTACTATAAATGCAAGAAGGAGGCAATCAAGAAGTTTAAAATGGAGTAATGGTGAGGAAGGAGGATGTGGAACCACTTTTAGTTAGAAAAATGAAGACCCATCTGAGAGGTTGATGTTTCAGCTGATGCTCACAGGCTGAGAAAGAGCTAACCACAAGAAGGGAGGGGGGCATGCGTCCGGGCAGCGAGCCTTATGTCATAGCCTTGAGGTAGGCAAGAGCTTAGTCTTCCCTTGAGACCTGCCAGCGGTCACGTGCTGGAGCATGATGATAAGGTGAAACGTGGCAGAAGAAATAGTTAGAGAAATAATACCCAAAGGAGCTGATGGCTGAGAAAATGGATAGAACCTGTTAGCACAAGTGGACGCCCAGCCCAGGCTCTGATGGGAAGAGGGAAACTTTCCTCCTCTGCCGCAGAGAGGGAAAAGGAAAGAGAGAGTTGCCAGTGTGGGTGTTTTTAATTTGGCGGTGGGAAATGAGGGTGTGTAGGTCTGATGATATGGATGTTTTCATCGAAGTAGGAGAAAATGTCATCAGCTGAAAGTGAAGGGGGAAGGAAGAAAGGAGGGGAGACTTGAGAAAGGAGACTAAGCATGAAGTAGTTGTCTCTGGGCAGGGAAAAGTGAGCCTGTCAGAGAAACAGAGGTGGACTGCTGGGCGCCCGTTAGAGGTTTACGGATAAAACTGTAAAAGGACACACTCGTTCATTTAATGGCAGTGATGTTTTTCGATCAATATTCAGCAGCTCAAGCCAGAGAAGGCACATAACAAGTTTCCAGGAATTGAGTTGTTTCATATGGAAAGAGGAACAAAGCATGAAATGATGGAGAGACGCAGCAGCGGGTTTTGGAGGGCCTTGTAAACCCAGCTGAAGATAACATACTTTCTTCCAAAAAGCAACAACTAGATGTAGAGAAGGGTAGGCATTGCAGTGTAGTGATCTAATATAGTACTAGTGTGCTAAGTGCAACAGTTCTTATTGATAGCTCTTTTAGGTTATCCTCAAACTACAGATTTATTCTTCCTCTTCTCCATTTTGACTCAGCAAGACAGTTTTGTAGTCAAAATTAAATTGATAGCAAACATCTCCACCACTCTCTGCCCCCCAGACTTTTTAAAATCTATCACTGAATTTGCTTGAAATAATTTTAGGTACTGACTTGCTTGGTTCCGTAAACAAACAAAAATGTGTTTGGATGTGGATCATCAAAATACTAGGATATGATTTGAAAATAAGATATTAGTTAATAGGAATTTACAGATACAGACATGTCTAAGTCTAAATCCTAGAGTAATTTTACTATAATTATGAGAAAACTGAATGATTTTTTATCATGAATTTTACATGCTGTGAACCTAAACCAAAAGTTTTACTGATATTCAAATTTCTTAAATAGAGTTTGTTCACTATGACTTGGGGGGGAAATATGCTACTAGAAGCAATAAAATAATTTTTTTAAGTGGAAGTTTTTTTTAGTACCATTCACTAAGAACTATTATGTACTTTCATTTATAATCATTCATACTTGGGCATTCTATAAATATTTATTGTTTGCTGGTGAACAAAATATACAAGGACCATCTCATAGAGCTTGCAGCCTACTCAGGGCAACAAACATGAAATAATCACACAAGCATATGAATATAACTTGTAATCAGTACATGAAAAAGTGTACAGGGAGCTTGAGTAGCACAGTAACAAGAGACATGCTCTGTTCTGGAAGCTGGAGGAGTCTTCCTTAAAGGAGTGGAATTCAAGGCAATGTCTGAAGGATGAATAAGAGGTAACCCGTGAAGCAGAGATGAGGAGGGAGGGAGCAGAGCTCTCTGGGGCTGCCGAAGCCAGTGCTGCTAAAGATACCGGGAGGAAGAGCCGCGGATTATGTGGGACTTTGTCGGCCGTTGTTAAGAATTTTTCATTATCCAACAGCAAAGGGAAGATTGAAGGATTTTAAATAGAAGAGAAACATATCAGATTATGATTTGTAAGAGAGCATCTGGTGCTATTTAGAAAGTAGCCTGGAGGAGGGAGGTAAGGGGAGAGGCCTGGAGGCCGGTGAGAAAGCCGCAAGGAGCAGCCACGAGGCCCTCATCGTCCGCACCAGGGCTCCGGTAGCTGGACTCAGGTGGTCACAGGGGGGATGTAGGAAAATGGAGCTGGAAAAACTAGGAGGTGAAATCAGCAGGGCTTTGTGACATAACGACTCTATGGGTGAACTGTAGAGATGTCAAGGATGACCCTCGGTTTATGATTTGCCATGACTGGTCAGTCAGAGGGCTGTGCTGTCCCCTGCTATAGGGAGCATGAGGAGAGGGGGGCAGGCCGGGAAGGGTGGGGTGCGGGAAGGAGAGCGCTGAGGGAGGGGGGATCATGCGTTAATTTCGGGAAGATATTGATGAAATATTCAGAGGTATGAAGGGAAAGGTCTGAACCAGACCTCTGATGATCTCCTACCTTTGGAGGTCAGAAAGAAAAGGGTAAGCAAACTTATCACAAAAAGCATTATAATATTATGATAATAGTCCTAATGTTCACGGGGATATTCTTAGTGCAATAAAAATTCGGCTTTTATATATAACTTTCTCATTTGTTATCATTATAAAGGTTTGTGGCTTAAATCTTACTATTCTTTAAATATGATTACTCACTCCTCATTACCTTTTCTAATTTAAGGTGGTTTGTTGGAAATGCTCTGATTACAAAGCGCAATTGGAATATGATGGTGGTAAACTGAGCAAAGTTTGTAAAGACTGTTACCAGATAATAAGTGGATTCGCAGACAGCGAAGAAAAGAAAAGAAAAGGCATTTTAGAGGTATGAAATAGTACATGTGGAATGTCTTTTAGGTTTTATTGAGGAAAATAGAATTGTCTTTTAACCCTGAAGAAGACAAATGACACATTTTTTTAATTTCTCTTAGTATTTAACAATTTGGAGAGTGATGAGCAAGTCATAATTTTGTTCTGTGTTGTTGAATTTGGGGATCATACTCAGTTATATAGAAAGAAGAGAGGCAGTGTTCTGCATTTGAGAGTAAATATATTGATTTGTGAAAGTAGCTATAGTCAAATATTAGTGTATTCATTATCTTTTTCAGTGCCCAAATTACTATAGTGTATTTTTGTACAAGTTTATTATTTTTTTTAGAGAGAGGGGAAGGAAGAAATAGAAATATCAATGTGAGAGAGAAACATTGATCGGTTGCCTTCTGTACGTGCCTGAGCAGGGATCGAACCTGAAACCTACGTATGTGCCCTGACCAGGAATCAAACAAATCAGTGTTCGGGATGATGTACCAAGCAACTAAGACACCAGCCAGGAAAAGCTTTCCTATTAAAAAAGTCAGTTTTATCATATTGACTTTGAAAAACCACTGCATGAAATTATTACAATTTAGATTAAAATACTATTACTTTATTACATGAAAACCTTTTTCAATTTATGGCAGTAAAAGTATCATTTAGTAACCAGTGACATTAATCTCGTAAGTGCATTAAAATATTATTGAAATATCTCACAAGTGAATTTGATTCATGTTTTAGAGTACATTCAGACCCCCAAACCTGGGAACTATAATGCTACTTGGGAACTGTAATGCTACTTGTATCTGAAATGAGCTTCATATCCAATGATATAATAAGGCCTTTGTGGCAGAAAATTCAAGATAGCCTGAAAAGTCTGTGAAGAATAGGCTCAAGATTAGAATTCTATGTATCTAAAGTCATAGACATAACTTGGTTCATTTAAAGAGGTTCAATGGTTCATTAAGAATCATTGAATGTTTATGGAGCATTTACAGTATATAAGCGTACAAAGGTCATTTCAAGTAACTGAAAAGGATCATGAACTTCAAGGCTCATTTAAGGTTAAAGTGTAGGTCTGCAAACTAAAAGTATAACTCTGAATTCCAGGCAACTGAGCCACACCAGCCAGGGAAAGCTTTCCTATTAAAAAAGTCAGTTTTATCATATTGACTTTGAAAAACCACTGCATGAAATTATGGCAATTTAGATTAGAATGCTATCACTTTATTACCTGAAAACGCTTCAGTGGCAGACCAAAATGGGGTTTTCTCAGCCAGGGTGGGTGGAAAGAAAAGCCTCATTCACTCCCAAGAACACAGTCTCAGGTCTTAGCCAAAGCTACCAATGAGACTGAGTGAATATGATAACTTGTATTAAGGACTGGGTTTCAGGCTGTATCTATGAAATAAAAATTTCTAGGTAGTTTTCTAGAAAAACCCATACTTGGAGGGGGAGATCAATTACTTAACTAGGTTAACACATATGCACACACACACATGCAATATTTGAAACTCTCTCTGTGCCAACTAGTGTTTCATACACCAAGGGTCTCAATAAACTCTTTCTGTAAAGGGCTAAAGTAAAACTATTCTAGTTTTCGCAGGCTAAGAGACAAAACTGAGAATTTACTTTCCTAACAAGAGAGAATACAAATGTTCACACATTTATATTGACAAAATTTTAAATATAATAAATTAGTATAATTTTTCCTAATATTGTAATAAGAATGGAATTCTTTGGGGGGGGGGTGGTGTAACATTTCTCTTAACTGGAGTCCAGAGTTAGTGTTCCCTATTTTCAAGTTGACTTTAAATGTTTATCTGTAAACACTTTTCTTAGCTCCTGGGTGGTACTAGAGCAGGTGGTGGGCTGGTAGGCCATAGTTTGCCAGCCAGTGCTTCTTAAACTATTGGTGATAGAGGACCAGTTTTATTTCCAAACCATCACGGCTCTGTGGTTTTGTAAAATACACAGTCATATGCTTGAGTGTCATCACAAAGTCAAATTGCTATAAAAGTTTCTCAGTGTTTACTCTCTCTTTCTGTGCTTCTCTTGAACCAGTAACAAAACAGTTTGCAAACCAGCACTGTTGAATGGATGACACTGAGTATCAGTAACCTAAGGATTTGATGCTTTCTATAATGTGTGTAATAAAAACCATCATTTAGTCAAATGGTTTTGTTTCCTTTTTAGCCAGTGATTTATATATTTGAAGGCAAAGTAGAAAACTGTAAATGGCTCTACAAACAGTTAATGCAATTTTTACTTTTACTTTTTAAAAATATATATATATATATTTTTTTTTTAATCCTCATCCGAGGACATTTTTCCATTTTTTGTACAGACAGTGCGGGAGGGAGAGAGAGGAAGAGAGAGAAAGAGAAACATCGATGTGAAAGGGACACATCAAGTGGCTGCCACCCGCACGACCAACCAGGGCTGGGGACAAACTGCAACCGAGGTACATGCCCTTAGCGGGAACCGAACCCGGGTCTCTCCGGACCGCAGGCGGACGCTCTAACTGCTGAGCCAAACCGGCCAGGGCTAAAAAATATATTTTAAATTGAATTTTTAAAGTGAGAGAGAGAGGAAAGAGAGAAACACCTATGAGAGGATGAGACAGAGAAACTTTGATGAGAGAGAGCCATCGAGCAGCTGCCTCCTGCATGCCCCCTTACCAGGGATCGAGCCTGCAGCCTTGTGGTGCACTGAACGACGCCCAGCCGAGCCACACTGGCCAGGGCTTTAAGGCAGTTTTTAAAATTTGAATGATCTCAGGTTCCAGGACAAGGATTGCTGAGCAGTATTTGCCTTTTTGATATTGCCTTCTTACATAGTTGAAGTTGGTATGCACTGTGGTTAAAAGTTTAGGCTCTGGCCCGGCCAGAGCATCATCACATGCACTGAGGTTCATGCCCGGGTTGCAGGCTCGATCCCCAGTAGGGGCGTGTGGGAGGCAGCTAATCCAAGTTTCTCTCACATTGATGTTTCTGTCTCTCTCTTTAAAAAAAAAAAAAAGTTTAGGCTCTGGATCAGACTCGAATTCCAGCATGCCAATTCCTAAATGTATGATCTTAGGAAAGTTATTTCTTCTCCGAACCTCACAGATAATGAAAGTTATAGCTGCTTGGTGTTGGTGTGAGGCTTAAATAAAATAATACATTTCTTAGTGAGCTAAGAAAAGTGCCTGCAGAGTAAGCAGTTAATAATGTTTAACTTCAGCCTTGGCTGGTGTGGCTCAGTTGGTTGGGCATCGTGCTGTGCACTTAGAGGTCACTTGTTCGATTCCCTGTCAGGGCGCATGCCCAGGTTGTGGGTTCTATCCCCAGCAGGGGACATGCAGCCAACTGATGCTATGCTCTCATATCCATGTTTTTCTCTTCTCCCTTTTTCTCTCTCTAAAAAATCAATAAACTATTAAAAAAATGTTTAACTTCATTTAAATTCAAGGTCTGGTAATGCAGAGAGTTAAAGTTGACTTAAATATTTTCCCATGCTAATAACAGAGCTAGGTGAGTATTCAAATAATAATTGCAGATGAACTTTATATTATTTATTTATTTATTTATCCTCACCCGAGGACATTTTTTTCATTTTTTGTTCAGATAGAGTGGGAGGGAGAGAGAGGAAGAGAGAGAGAGAGAAACATTGATGTGAAAGGGACACATTGAGTGGCTGCCACCTGCACGACCCAACCAGGGCCAGGGACAAACTGCAGCGGAGGCACGTGCCCTTAGCAGGAACCAAACCCGGGTCTCTCTGCACCGCAGGCCGGCGCTCTAACCGCTGAGCCAAACCGGCCAAGGCCAGGTGAACTTTATGGATGATCCCAGGAGACATTTTCTATAAACACACTGTATTTAATGAATGTTCCCTTAAGTTGAATTACTTCTCAATCTGGTCCATTTTGTGTTCATTCTCATTCTTTCACCTCACTCTTTCCATTATATTTTTCTAGATTGAATCAGCAGAAGTATCTGGAAACAGTGTTTTATGCAGCGTTCTGCAGTATATGGAGAAGTCAAAACCTTGGCAGAAAGCTTGGTGTGTGATCCCCAAACAAGACCCCCTTGTGCTGTACATGTATGGTGCCCCCCAGGTATCTAAACTGCATTTGTCTGAAGGGACAGAGGTCATGGGGACCCGGGGAGGCGAGCAGACAGTGAACTCAGTTCTTCCATCACCCCCCTAGAACAGGAGAGCGCAGGTTCACTGTGTCCCTACAATCGGAAAATAATAAGTAACTAAAATTCAAGCTTACTGAAACTGGTGGATTCCTTGTATAGCCAGTACTTTCTTCACCCCATGGATCGCTTCTCCCCTTCTCTCCACCCGATCCTGTGGGTCTGAGGAAAAGGTGAGTTGAATTAGGAAAGGGCATCAGGAGAAGGGGATGAAGCAGAGGGAGAAGGAAGAAAGAGGAGCTGCCTTTTTAATGATAGGACGTAACAGTGAGCTTCCCCCAACCCCCTTGAGTAGAGGAATACCTGCACGAGAAAGAAACTGAGTGGAAGAAGAATGTAAATCAACCTTAGATTAACACTATCCAATAACAGTTGTTTGAGAACCATGTGTGCATGGATCTCAGATAAAACAGACATGCAGGTTTAGCTGCTAACCAGAGTAACCAGGCACTGTGGATTGCATAAGGCTTATAAACAAGAAGCACTTAAACCACATGCATTCACCTGGAAATACATAGAATGTTTAATGTGCCTGTTGTATTTTTAGCCTATATCTACATTAAGGGCTAGTAAAACTTTTTTAGAAATAGGCTTAAAATGCCAAGGTATATATTTTATTCTATTTTGTGGTTTTTCCTATAACCTTTTTCTGTCCATAAATAAATTGATGCATGAATGAAACACCAAATAAGCTGTTGGGTAATGAGAGAATCATGAACATTTGCTGGTTTTATACAATAAGATGACTATTCTTTCCTTCCTTTTTTCACTGAATGGCGAGCTGAGTAGGCTCCCTCACAGAGAGGAGGTATTGCTCAGTGAATCCTAGTTGATTTAGGTGTCGGCTCTCATTCATTAATTCATTCGGTCAGCCTTAGCAGTGGCCTCATGTACAGGCGCTGTGCTGTTCCTGCATCACCATCTTTGTCCATGGAGAGCTCACAGTGCAAGTCTGTGTGGAACGGTCATAGGAAAAGAAGTTTAGTAGGAGCCAGATCACAAAGGGACATGCATAACCTACTAATATATCTCACACTCGCATGTACTGTGTGTTTTCTTTAGGATGTCAGGGCCCAGGCCACCATTCCACTTCTGGGCTATACTGTGGACGATATGCCAAGGAGCACAGATCTGCCACACAGTTTCAAACTGACCCAATCCAAGTCTGTGCACAGCTTTGCTGCGGACAGCGAGGAACTGAAACAGAAGTGGCTGAAAATCATCCATCTAGCTGTCACAGGTGAGACGCCAGATGGTCCTAACGAGCATTCAGCTACCTTGGACGATTATCCTGAACCTAAAAAAACATCCGAATGCTGAACTCCAGTACCCACCACAGTGTGGGGGTCTCAAGATTCACAGCTCAAGACATTCCCAGCTCTCCTTGTTCGTCTCTTAGCACTTTATGTTGGAAATTAGAGGCTCATAAATGTATCTGGTAGGGGACTATTTTCCTATGTTTATGTACTCTTGGTGAAGTTAATGTGCAGAGCCATTCTACAGATAAAAGTTGGAAATAATGTGAAAAATGGAGCATTTTTTAATGAGCTATTCCTTGAATACGTACTTTTGTCAAATGGTATCAATTGATTGTATCACTATCAGGTTAGAATAGGCCACTTTCATTGAAGAAATATTTTCATGTCTTCTCTTTCACATGTAGGAACTGTAACAGTTTGAAAGATGTACCTCCATGTTGCCAAAATAGATTCATGGTTTAAAAAATTATAAGGACAGCCCTGGTCGGTTCGGCTCAGTAGTTAAAGCGTTGGCCCACAGACCAAAGAGTCGCAGGTTCGATTTCGGTCAAGGGCACATGCCTCGGTTGCGTTCAGTCCCCAGTCCTGGTTGGGGTCCTGCAGGAGGCAACCAATCGATGTCTCTCTCTCACATCGATGTTTCTCTCTCTCTCACTCTCTCTCCCCCTCCTTTCTTCCCTCCCAATCTATCCGAAGATAAATGGAAAAATACCTCGGGTGAGGGTTTAAAAAAAATCACAAGGACTGTTTAGGCTATTGTATTAACTTATTTAATTTAGTTTATCAAGTGCAAGCTGCATAAATTACATATGTCCTTTTAAATCAGGAGAAAAAGGACAGATTGTTGGTGTTCAAACTTTCCACTTATTAAAAAAAAGATAATACTTGTTTTTGCAGAAAGACTTCTAAAAATAAAATACCTTAAGTATATAGCAATTATGTATATATAGTATAATATATATATATATACACACACACATATATATATGTACTATACATGCTTTTCTCTTCAGCTTTAGGTTCATATTTGTCTCTAATTTATTTTTAAAATATAAAGCATGTTTTATCTTGGAATTGGACAGTGTTCTAAACATAAATATTTTTGGTGACTTATGTTTAACTGATTGACATTTAAGGGTATTGATATTTTTATAAAAAGGAAGAGCAGGCCCTGGCCGGTTTGGCTCAGCGGTTAGAGCATTGGCCTGCGGACTCGAGAGTCCCGGGTTCGGTTCCTGCTAAGGACACGTACCTCGGTTGCAGTTTGTACCCGGCCTGGATGGGGTTGTGTGGGTGGTAACCATTCGATGTGTCTCCCTCACATCAATGTTTCTCTCCCTCTTCCTCCCTCTCCCCCTCCCACTGTATCTGAAGATAAATGCAAAAATGTCCTCGGGTAAGGATAAAAATATATATATATTAAAAAAATAAGGAAGAGCAGTAATTTATGTGGCATGGGATATATTAGTGAATTCCAACCGTATTTTAAAAGTACTATTGTTTTTTGTTGTTGTTGTTCTGTGCCTATTTAAAACATTGCCTCTCTTTGCAGGTGCTAATAATTTCTATTTAAATATAAGGTGAGGGTTTAATTCGTGTTTCAGTCTTTCTTATTCTGAGATAAAGTGCATTTTGGTCATCGGCATGGTCAAAGTCATACAGGTTGTTTTTCCTTTTATGATTCTCTAATTATTACAGCAGTTAATATCAGTGTGTACAAAAAATTTTACAAAACCTGAATTGTGCAAGCTACCTGACCCTATGTAGAACTGGGACATCAGGAAACTGTGTTTATTGTACTGATTTTCTTTTCCATAAGGCTGTTAAGCATGCTTAAATGAGATAGGTATATAATTAATACTTAAGATAACTGTGTGGGCCTGTCCCTTTGTCAGATATGAAACAAAATTTACATGTGGTCACCTATGTTAGAGGGGGCTGGATAGGTATTAAATTTTATGTTCAGTTCTTTTAACCTCCTCAGTAAAGAAGAAGGCACACAATATTGGAAAGCAGTGTTTTAATGGTAGGTTTTTGGGAGGTACAAGATAATTAAAGAGACTCTGAGCATCCTTTTCTCATTTCTCCTTCTGGGGAATCTTAACAGACAAAATATAATTTCTTGTGACGAAGGCTGCTCTTCATTATATTGTAATTATGATTAAAATCTCACAATCTCACATTAAGTTGGCTATTTAACTTAATCCTCTTCTCAAATTAGATCTGGATTGTTGTTTTGTTTTGATTTGGTTTGTTTTTTCCCATTTACGCTATTATGTCCCAAACGTTGTCACTTTGAATGCATCATCTAGAAACTCACAAGAATGCTCTCACGATCTTCTGCCTTTGGGGATTACACCTTAAACGTAGAATAGATTTCCTCAGAATTTGAGATTTTCGCTCATCTAGTTAGGCCCTCTTAAGAAAATTTGAAATATCTTCTATTTTTCTGCAAAGGAGCAGATAAGCTTCTTATGGCTGATATAATCAGGTTGTCTTCCTCTATAAAGAAATAGCAGCCATGATCATTCACATTAAACCAAATACTTGCAGCCAAAAAGAGATAAAGGTAACTTCTTCCTACTAAATCAGGGACAGACTTAGAAATATTTTACATTGCTTCTCTTTTCTAGTTGCTAACTGTGTGTGTCTCTGTGTGTGTGTGTATATACACAACATGTGTGTTCATTGATGGTTATTGAGAAGGGTAAGCTATAGCTATAGATAATGCTTTGGTTTTCTTTATCTCAAGAAGAGAGAAGCAGTGTAGAATGATCACCAGGAGAAGGTCACTTTTGTAAATGTGGATAGAACATGGAAATGTAAAGGCCAGTTAGAAGATTTATGGGCCAGATTATTTTTGAAAACTGTTTCGAACAGCAAGAGGACTGTCCTTTCCCTTGCAGAGAGTTCTCCTGGAGTGGAAGTAACATGGACAAGTTTGGGCTCAATATGTATCTGTGTTATTTACTTTAGATTGTTGAAAGAATACTCATGAAGAGAGTATTTATTATCATGCTCTTAATATTATCTTTAATTTGTTTTTTAAACATTAGAAATACTATTATAAGAAGAGAATTTCTGGTTATCCAGGCCCCATCTTCACATCCCACCCCGTGTCCTTTAGCCAAGCACACGGAGAAGCCACGAAGCAGCCTTATCTGATTTTTTTTTTTAAAAGAGTCACTAATCCTTTCACTAGGAGAAGGGCAAAGGAATACACTTATTCAGCCACTTAGTAAACACTCAACTAAGCCAAAAGACCTCAAAGTATGACTGGTTACAAGAATAATCTACGTTTTTTGCTTTTTGAGACACTGGAGCAGTCATGATAGATTGAACCCAAAAATGTAATTGGTTGCTTTTCTACTAAACCCAACATTCCATGTGGGTCTTACAATTTTTTCTCTCTCTAATTTGGTGCTTTCCAAGTCCTCTTTTCTTTAAGGCGCCCTTCCTCCAAACTTAAAAAAATACTACTTTGCTAAAAACTGCTGTTCATTATAAAACATTCCAATTTTTTTAACTTCAGTTTTGCTTTATTGAAAGTCTACCATTTGGATATTAAGTATGAAATGTAGTGCAGACTGATCTCCAGGTTTTAAGTGGGACTCAGTAGTGAAAAATGCCACCAGCCACTTTTGTAATAATGGCATCTACAATGCTATCATGTATGAAAGCAATAAAACACGTCAGGGTATGTTTTTATACTGAAATCTTAACCTGAATACCCGTAGCCACAGGACATAGAGAATTAACTACTAGAAGTGATCACGTAACTTACTGCTCAGTACGGGGTAGAGCAGGGGGTGGGGGATTGGAGTGGGCATTATTCCTTGGATTCAAATAACGAGCAAAACCATTTCACTTTTGCAAAGGGTATTGATGGAGAAACAATGAAAGCACATCTGCACTACTTCATTAAGCAACATTTCATTCTCCACAAAGTTTAATAACATAAAGGTTGGTGTATTTATCTTTATGGGGTGACCTACCCCCATTTTTTTAAACTCTCCAATTTTATAAAATTACCAAACATTTTTTTAAGAACTAGCCTTTTAAATGTGCCCTATTCCCATATATAGATAAACACTGGATTTTTTTAGAGACTACTTGCTGTAGCCTGGCTAGTGTGGCTCAGTGGTTGAGCATTGACCCATGCACCAAGAGGTCACCAGTTTGATTCCTGGTCAGGGCACATGCCTAGGTTTTTAGCCTGATCCCCTGTGGGGGGCATGCAGGAGGTGGCCAATCAATGTTCTTTCTCATCTGTGTCTCTGTCTCTCTCCCTCTCCCTTCCTCTCTCTCTAAAATCAATCAAGAAAAGAAATATTAACAAAAAAACAATACTTGCTGTAGTCCTAAGTATATAACTACAAACTTCATAGTACTGCAGGGTTGCTAAGGATTCATTGATGCCTTCTAAAAACTTTAGTTCAAAAATACTTCTGTGAGTTCACAACGACATTTTACTTCTTGTCTACTTTGTGGAACAGGGTGTTTTAATCTCTTTTAATTGTAGATGTCATTTCTGGTTCTATTCAAAGCCTTAAGTTCTTATTCTGAGCATATCGTCTGTGATAATAACTCTGATAGGATCTTTCTTGGGGCTAGATCCATCCTGAGGTAAAGGCACCAACAGGAGCAAATAAACTTCTAGGGAACACGGGTCTTATTTTTTGCAGTTATCCTTACTATAATGCAAAATAGAAGATGAATTAAAATTTCCTGCATCACATGATATTTGTGTTAGCAGGTCTAAGATTAAGCACATGGTATTTATATGCTAAAATTAATTCAAAAGACAAGAATGTCTTAATGTTTTCATTCTTAAATTCTGTATTCTTCAAGAATGTATTAGTATAAAAACTGGCTCACCAGTTCTGATTCTCAGGACTGCATTGACATCTGTAGTGGACTGTGTTATTTCTTTATTCTCACCCAGCTTTAGTTGAATCAAATTGCTTTTTATTTTCATATTACTGTCTAGATACTCCAGATTTGGAAAATATGGACATGATACATAAAGACCACTAGATCTACTTTTAAAACACTCTGTGAATTTCTGAGTATATGTATGTATATAAAAATACTGTTGATTTCCAATTCTGTTTTTTCATAGGAATGAAATGTTTATAGAAACTGTTCTTTTAGTTTAAATATTTTAACATAAATTATTCACATGAATTTTTAGTCATGTAATGACTAAATTAATGATGTCATTAATGATGTCATAAGATGATAAACTTGCTCTCTTTGCTGATGCAGTAGAGAGGGATGGAATTAGGAACCGAAACGCAGGAATGAGCAGGGAGGTGGTCAGAAAGAGACTGCTAGTCTCCAGATCGGAGCCAGGTGTGGTAAGAGAAAAATACTAACGCTGCAGAAGGGATATAAACTATAAGATATAAACCTACATAATTGCATACTGGTGGGATGTATTGCACCCCGGCCTTTTACCTTGGCCTTGGCCTCTAAATTGTATTGTTAGTATCTTGTCATTACTTTCCTTTTCCTTTAGGCTGTAAAAGAAATAATTTTATTCTA